AGCCCGCGTGCACACAGACGGGCCCGGCTCGCGCCCGGCGAGGACGGGACCGGGAGCCAGCCCGCACACATAACACCAAACAAAACAAAGCTTCACTTTTTATACTGAAATATTAAGAGTTTACAAAGTAGAAAGCAAAAGAACATTCACAGAGGTTGCTGTGTAAGATCTCTTGGAAAAAAATCACTCTAACATGTTGAATGGATTTCCAATAATTTCATCATATTCAAATAATCTAGCACTTACATACTGTAGTTTACACAGAGTTCTACTAAATAGCATGACATTGTAGCTAAAATGAGTTTAAGGACCAAGGTCAGGCCCTACAACCCTTACATATCCAGGAAATCCTATTGGCACCACCTGCCTAAACAAGGATTATTCGTGTGAATATAGGCTGAATGATCAGGGTGAAAATTACAGGAATATTTGTCCTGATTTAAACAATTCCAGTTAGAATAGAAGTGAATGAAAAGCTGGCACAGAAGCAAAACTTTTCTGTAACCCATTTCAGGCTTTGCAGTGTACATCATACTTCAGCATTGCTCCCAACTTTGTTCCACCTAAAGACGCTTTAAATTTGGCATCCATTTGCTGGTTCTGAGCTTCAGTGAAAAGGCTCTTCCAATCACCAATGGTTCCTGGAATTGAAAAAAAAGCAAGTAAAGGATAATCTGTCCCTACAGTGACAGAGAGACTTACTGTATTTATGCAAACACAAGATGACTCTGATTATAAGATGGTCTCTCAATAATTAGATTCTATATACGGAAAAGGTATACATTTGATAGAATTTTCCAGGTATAGCATCTAAGAAGGCTTGCCTTGAATTTGTCCCCCTCCCACTACTATAGCTGGAAGAATAAATCTGGGGGATCAGATAGCCCCTTTGCAACCTCCCTACTTCTCTCCACTTCAGCTCCTCCCCTTTCTTCCTATTAGACAGCATTCTCCCTGAGCACCTGGAAGTGAGGAGCATATTTGAAAAAACAGACCATGAAATAAACATAGCTGTAGTAATTTGCATATAGTACCCATAGACTTAGTTGATCCAGAATTGATGCATTTTACCTTTTTTGAAACTGCTGCAAGCTTTAGCACAGGTACTCCATCAACACACTTTCAAGCAGTACTGTAGTACCTACTTATATATAGTATAAACTATGCATTATATTAGTCCGAAGTCAAAAGGCTCATGATTTACTGGGTTGGGCCCCAGCAGAGTCAACAGCATTTCAAACCATGGTGACCCCACAACTCAGCACTGTTCACTACACCCCAGATACATCCCACAAAGAAGCCATGTGCTAATTAGCCCTCACCCATGACTGGAACCAGCTGTTCTTGTCACAAATCCTGGGATCCTCCAAAAATGTATGTGTGTATGAAGCAGGGGAGCAATCCAGTCCTGCTTCACCTCATGGAGGGTGGGAGCCAGACTAATCAGCTGTGACAGGTTGAGAAAGGAGACCACTGAGGGATCCTGAATAAACTGTTTGGGGCCCTGTTTGGTAATGTTTGAGAGACATTTAAGGCTGATGTAGAAACCGGAATCATTGGAAATGGGAAAGAAAGGTGCAGCTCAGCTGTGGGAGTGAAGAGGAAGTCAAAATGTATGCAATATAGTGGCTCACTATGACTTGGAAAAGTCAGCACTCAGGGGGACTACACTCAATAGGCACTGTCATATATCTTTTCCAGGTGGGTTGCACTAACTTATCTTTGTGGTAGGTTCCCATTAGCATTTTTGCCCACTATGGGCCGTGTACATTATAGTCGTGCTCAGTGTTGGCTACATTTAATCAGCTTCATTATTAATTTCCATTATCAGGTACATGCTTCCTTTAACAGCAGTTCAAAGATAAGCAATGTTTTTAATGTGGTTTCCTTGTATGTGAATATAAGATAAGGGGTCTTTTCCCCCTATGCTTATTGGGGGGGACCTCATCTTGTATTTGAGTAAATATAGTGTTTATAAGAAAGAAGAATTCCCCAATCTCCTTTATCACCATATTTGAAGACAACATACATTTATGTTCATGAACAGTGCAACTGACTAGGGAGAAAAAGTATATACCTGCCTCAGAATGGGCACAATAATTTTCACCACTGCAAAGTGAATCTAAAGAGTATATAACATAGTGCAGTTCCAGTGTGGTTGCTTTTGTCCCTGCTTTTGCACTGGTGTAAAAAACATACCAGATGAATAGCACTGGGAGATCAGGCCCAAAAAGTTCATAAACATAACTCTCAACTGCAAGCACCTATCATATTATAGTCAAGGACTGTCTTTAAGCTGCAAAAAAATTAATATAGATTCCAGACACCTCAAATTGGAGGACTTTTGAATCTGAGACTCTGGTTGGACAATGACAGAAGTCAACCAATACAGAAGTTTTTCCCTTACTGTGGTCTGAGGCTATGAAAGGTGATGCCTGGTTCGTCTACAAATAACACCACCCCCTGACCCATTACTTAATTATTAAAAGTTTGACAGTAAGGATGCATGGTGCTCCAGAAGAAATGCTGAGAAATGAAAGTGGTCCATTGGTTCAAAAAACTTGGAACCACAGCTATAGTTTTTGGATTGAAATTTTTATTCGGGTTCACATTTAATCACACTAGCTGCCTAAGAAACTTAAGAAGAAAACTCTACGGAAATATGGCATAAATTGAATTTTAGAACCTTCTCCAGCTTCTACAGCAATCAGTAAGAACCTTTCCATGATTTTCATAGGAACTGATTCCAGCCATGACCAAACAGCATGATTTTATTGTGCTTCATTGCTAGAAAAAAGGGTAATCAGAAGGGACTGATCAACTACTGCTTCAAGTTCCTGTCACAGTTAAATGAAGTGTAGCCGCCACTGACAATCCTGATACCTAGGGGGTATTTTGTTTGGGGTTTTTTACCTTTCCGGAAGAGAATTGGGCCAACTGAGCCATGTGTCTCCTGAGATTTATCTCTCACTGCTTGGAAGCTGGCCCTGTCTGAAATAGACTGAATTTGCTCTGCCTTCGGAGAGAATCCAAAGAAGTCAGCAATTTGCTTTACTGCTGAAGCCAGGTTCTGAAAGCAATTTAGTGAAATGATATACATTATAGCAAAATATAAAATGCTTCCTCTAAAAAAAAAAGTGTTCTGTGTTTGAGAGGTATATGACCTTGACTTATCGATAAGGGACCCAAGTAGTATATTTGCTAGGAGACCTTGATGTTCAGCTCTAAAAACCTGCATCCACATTTAGCTTTTTGCGATGAGATAATCATATTGCCACTGAAATCACTCTGAGTTTTGCCATCAACTTTAGTGGGAGGGGGAATCAGATACTTGCCTGTAAGTATCAATGTCTTTACCTCTTTCATGTCTTCATATATCAAAATCTGAACATTTTCATCCTCAATGTGTTTATTCCAGGCAACTGCATGGTCAAAATAGGATCCCCAGCTGACTGCAAAGCAGACAGAAAAGCTTCACCCTGAACATTTTTAGAATTAAGTTTTTATTTCTCTCTCACTGGGCATGTCTACACGTGCATTAATGTGCCATGGTTACTCTGCATAAGTTTAGTACTTGTAATAAGAGGTACTAACTAAATGAGCAGTAACCAGTGCTACTGTGTAGTAGTGCAGGCACGTGCCTTTTAAGTGATACTAACGTGCAGTAGGCTAATTATACTGCGCATTAGCGCAATAGCACAGCATTTGCCATGATGCGCTAATGCACAGTAGAATTAATCTATTGCACATTTAGTATCTCATGTAGATACACCCACTAAGAACCAATTTCTGCTGCCCACAAATTACGCCCATGTAGACAAGAATTAAATAGTTGCTGTATATGTTGTACATATGGAGAAGCACAGATTTCTTGTTGAAAGCAATGGCTTTATCCAGAAGCATGTACTTCATTACTTTGTATCACTGTTAGCTTCCGGTGCTATATATACTGTTACTAAAGATGGCTCTGAGCAGTCAAATCCAAATCTGAATCCAGATCCAATTGGGCCCATATTTAAGGAGGGGGTATTTAGGACCGGGATTTTTGTTGGCCCCAGTAGCCCAAACTGAAATGCCTTTGTTAGCACTGCTGACTCTGATCATCTCTTGCATCTGCAGGTGGCAGAGTTTTTGAACAAGATTTTGTTAAGCTATCGTTCAAGTACTTGACTCCTAGAATAACTTGATGCTCAGAAGCAAAGTTACCTTAGAACATGCATCACACTCTGGAATTCATTTGCATCTTATCCTGGGGAATTATCCCCAGTGAATCTCACCATTACACAGCTGTTTTCCCACTGTCTTCATTCGGTTGTTTTCAACTATTTGTTATTCTGCTTATCTTTTTCAGATACACTCAGAGACAGTAATTATACCTTTTCCATTCATGAACTCTGAGAAGAACTCATCCCAAGAGCTATAACTGGGAATGGATGGGACGTTGTTGTGAAAATGGAAAAATGATGCGGCTGTATCTTTAGGATTTCGAAACAACACCAGTATCTGGAATGGGAGGAAGAGATCAGCAATTTTTTGATCATTTATTTACCCTGGTAACTAAAAGGATAGTACAACCAACATTCTGTAACCACTACTGTACTGTAGCTATGAAATATTTTCATTAGTATGTAGGGCAAAAAAACAAATTTAAAAAATTGGTAATAAAGTCCCTGTGGACACTTTTAAAGCATGATCTTGTGGTAAAAGAATCAAAGAATTGAGAGACTAAAACGACTGTAAAACTGCCAAAAATCCTTCTGTGCCCAGGTTACCCAAGACTGGGGAATTTCTAGAGAATCTTACAGCCCACTCTGTAAAATACGACTGCATTCCCCTTTGGGAAACTGTAGTAGTGCTATTCATTTTCCCCACTTTCTCAGGAATCATTTCACACCTCTTAGAGTAAATACAAGCATTTCTAAAAAAATAAAATAGGCAAAAATGAGAAAAAACATTTATAATAAATATCAACTGAAAAAGCACTAAGAATTATCACTCCTCTCCCCTTGTTTAGCTATTGCTTCTATCCTGAACCTAACGTATCTGCCTTAGCTCCATGATGCACTGTCATTGACTTGAAACAAAATTCAGCAACTTGTCCATGTGTGTAAGGCTTCAACAGGTTGTTCTTGTGCATAAAAGAAAACGTAAGTCATTAAGCCACCATAGCCAACCTCTACACTATTCACACCAACCTTTCTGGTATAAAGGAGAAGTAGCAGCTGTAAAGCTCTTCAACAATTCTGAGCCAACAACCAAGACTTACTGGTAATGTCAATTAGAACAACTATAACTGTGATCTAAGTTGCATCAAATCCCAAACCAGCATCCAGTTGGCCCCAGAATTCAGTAGTATTAAGGTGTCTTAGAGCCACTTTCTCCTCACCACCACCTGGGTTCTAGTCCTATTAAGGTTCTGTCCCCAAAATTACACTTGAAATGCTATAGATGTGAGGCACTCACCTTGGCTTTATTCTTAAAGATAGACTTGGGGATCATATCATAGGGAACATGAGTTGCCAAAATCCTGGGAGATGGGAACTGTTTCAACCTCTTTAAAAGCAAACCAAAGAATAAGTGAGAATCACTTTGTTATACTTGTACAAAAGTGTTGGCATATGTGAGCTAGCCCCTTATGCTAATCAAAGAACATCAGTTATCTAAGTCTTTTTTCTTCAGGAGAAAAACCCCCACATGCTACATGACTAGTGTGCTTGTGTGTGTGTAGGTAGCGGGTAGAAAAACAATGCACTTCATTTGTTTTAATCATTTCTCCTCACTAACCTGATATTTTTCTGGATCTCCACATTCAATAAATGGCAGTTCTGAGGTTTCATTTTTTTTCTGTAAAGTTGTAAAGATTAGGTCATGTAAGATCTGGATAAGCCAGTTGGCACCTGGGCAAAGAAACAAGCAAACTAAAATAAATACAATAGATAAGAAGCTTATAATGGATCTCAGAACCTTCCCATTATAGTGGTTTAGTACTGTGGAAAATGCATTTATCAATGTGCAAATAATACTCTCTCAAAACTCTCAAGGCACTAAACAAAATTAAATCTTCAGTATAAAGAAGCTAAATAGTTACCTGACAGCCTGCACCTTAGGCTGTATGTTGCCCAGATTACAAAAAGGTCAACCGGACTTAGAATTAGTGACATTTGACTTCATTGGAATCCAACTTAGTCATGAATGTACTTGTGGTTTTTAAAAAATATATATTTATAAAACAGAAAGTAACAGTAAAGGGCACCTAGCTCCCATCTATGGAAAAACAAATGTAGAAGATAGGAGGGGGGGTGAGGGGAGAAAGACCAGCAAGATGATCAATTATTAAATCTGATGGAAAGTTATCAGCCATCTACCATATGAAGCAAACAAGAGGTACCACACACACAAATTTTATAAATCTTCCTCTGTATGGAGTCTGAAGCACCCTATCACATCTGCTCTTTGCCACCTGATGGAGTTGCTCTAATGAAGTTATACCATTGGGTCATTCCCACCTATGTCTGTCTCTTGGGGTCTCCTCTTCAAAGGTTTCTAGGCACTAAGAATGCTCTGCTCAAAAGTTAATGAAGCATGGTACTACTGGTTGTTGAAGGAATACTAGGTGACAAGCTGTTTTCTCCCTGGACCACAGCATCATTTCCCTGTCCTTGTGGAGAGCTCCTTGGAAGGTTTTCCTCAGGGTACGTGGAGATAATGCTGTAATACTGGCTGACCCAACCTTTTGTGCATTGAGACACCCATGTGCATGCAGCTGCTAGAGATGGTAATGAGAAATGCAAGAGGCAAACTGTTTAAACCTCAGGCTCTCTGTGGAAAAGCTGTTCCCTGAAAGACAATCCTTGCCTGACTCTTCTTTTCTCTGACTTCCTCACTCTGCATAGACTGCTGTTTTCTTGTATTAACCTCAGATTGTAAACTCACTTGAGTAGAGACTTTTCTGTCTTTATATTAGTCTGGAAAGCACTATACATACCTGTGGTGCTAGTTAAATAAAAATCTCTATTGTGGTTTCTTTCTCTGTAAAAGACAGTTAATTACACACACCTCCCAGACTGAATTCATGAAGGGGTGATATTTGCCCTCAAACAAAGCTTAAGCAACACTGTCCTCCATAGATATACCCTTCAATCCAACTTAAGAACTAGGAGTCTTAAGAACTGTAAATGGAAACTAGAACATTAGTATCTCCACAGACATGCCCCTGCCTGCACATTGCATAACATCCATGCACAAATAAAAATTTGATTTCTAAAGCAAAGTTATCTGATAGGCCTAAAATAACAAATCTTTTATTTTCCCACCTGCTTCTCAAATATCTGGTATAACGTGAATTGACATGTTCCTTCAACTCACACCTTGCTAAATATTTTCCACATCAGTTGCTGTTTACTCATCTAGTATAGGCCTTAGAGTTGTGGGAAACATTTCATATAAGTGAGATGTTTTCTGAAGATTAACTTTCATAATCTGTAATGAATTGCAGGGAATAGGATAATGCTAAAGCTCTGGAGGACAAAGGGAAACTTGGAGAGTTTTCCTCATGTCTGATTCAAAGAGGTGCTGAATATCTAAAGTCAGTGGGAGACGGGGAGTTCAAGAGATAGTCAGCTCCTTGAAAGTTTGGGCCCAACAGAAGAAACACAATAGCTTAAAAAGCCAGAGTCTTGTTTTTATGGCATGGCCAAATAGCTGGACTCTGTTCCTGTAGTGATGATGATGATGATGACGAAGAAGTGACTGTCGCCACCCTCATATGTCAGAAGAACAAGGGCCAGAAGGCCAGCAGCAGGTAGAATGGTCAATGTCAATAAGACCATGGGCAACCAAAGGAGGGCCATAAGGGCATTCATAGATGATGTGGTCAGCCACCTGAGCTTGATCACTACTGCAGCAGCCAACATTGTTGAAGAGGTCCCAAAAGTGCATGCTCATCTTAAATCGTCCAACACCCATTCTAAGACAGTTAAGAGCAGTCCAGGCCCTGCTGGGAATGAAGGGCACCTGTACGCAAGCATGGCGGCTGCTCTGACATGCTGTAATTATAGTGTGTTGGAACAGATTCAATTAATCAAGTCTGCTGCAGCATGGTAATTATCATAGAATCATAGAAGTAGGGTCGGAATCTAGATCTTCAAGTCCGCCCCCCTGCCTGGGCAGGAGGAAAACTGGGCTCAAATGACCCCAGCCAGGTAGACATCAAGCCTCTTCTTGAAGACCCCCAGGGTAGGAGCCAGCACCACTTCCCTTGGAAGTTGGTTCCAGATCCTAGCCGCCCTGACTGTGAAGTAGTTCTTACGGATGTCTATTCTAAACCTACTCTCCAACAACGTGTGGCCGTTATTCCTTGTTATCCCAGGGGGCGCTAGGGGAAACAAGGTCTCCCCCAAACCCTTCTGGTCCCCCCTAGTGAGTTTACAGACAGTCACCAGGTCCCCCCTCAGCCTTCTCTTGTGAAGGCTGAACAGGTTCAGGTCCCATAGCTTCTCATTGTAGGGTCTGCCCTGCTGTCCATGGATCATGTGGGTGACCCTCCCCTGGACCCTCTCAATGTTGTCCACATCCCTCTTGAAGTGGGGTGCCCAGAACTGGACACAGTACTCCAGCTGCGGCCTGACCAGTGTTGCGTAGAGGGGGAGGATCACCTCCTTGGACCTACTTGAGATGTACCTGTGGATGCCGACTGTGACCTTGCATTGTCGGCCCATGTTCATCTTGGAGTCAATGATGACTCCAAGATCCCTTTCTGCCTCCATGCTCTCAAGAAGGGAGTTTCCCATCTTATAAATGTGCTGCTGGTTACTACTGCTCAAGTGCAGCACCCTGCACTTGTCTGTATTGAAACGCATCCTGTTTTTGTTAGCCCACCCCTGCAACCTATCCAGGTCTTGCTGCAGTCTTTCCCTCCCTACTAGTGTGCCCACCTCACCCCAAATTTTGGTATTATCCCCATGCTTAAAAATGGTGGTAGGGGCACTTGAACTCAAGCTTATTGAATGAGCTTGAGTTCAAGTGCCCTCGCTGCCATTTTTAAGCACAGGGATGCTGATACATGAGACACAGCGGCACTTTGATTAGAGTGGCTCCCAGAGCCACTCTAATTAAAGCGTCGCCCTCCCCACCTACGGAGTAGGTGTAAAAGTGCCCAAAGTCCTTTAGCTGCAGTTCTTCTGCAGCACATTCCTTCAGTAAAAAGGTGTGCAGGCTGATTTGTGGCTCTTGGGCTCAGTCCTAGAAAGTGCTAAGCACCCTTCTGACTGCTATACCAGTGGGACAAGAGCATGCGCAGCAACTCACTGTTTTAAACTGCACAAACCAATTTCTTCTTTTTTCATCTAATTCTTTATTCCCCCCTCCCCGCCCCACACACACACCTTTTTCCTAAAACTCACAAGATCAAATTAAAAAAATATCCATTTAATACTAGTTATGAATGTGAGATCAAATATCCATGGGATATGAAATTCAAGTAGGCAAATAAAAAGGTTTCCTCAGCAATGCTCACCGCTTTAATGTGCACATATGTAGTATTCCCTATTCCTTTCTCCCTTGTTCAGTGTACCCTTTAACAAACATCTTCCATTAATGTATGCTGCCTCCCTTTGCTGCCTATAACACAGTGGCAGGTTTCTCCTTCTGCCCCACACAGTTACAGGTACAGGAACCCTGCTGAGAGCTGTAGGGTCATTCTCGCTGAATGATTAGCAATGTCTGTCCCTCATCTAAATTTCCCACCCATGATTTATCACCAGCTGTCTTTGTGTCAGCAGAGGTGACATCATGCAAAGCTACTAAACAGGGGTGGCATTTGAAATCCAAGCCAAATCCAAACTATATAAATGGCCTCCTCCCTTTATATTGTGGCAGTTGTAGCACAGATATTGCTTTTTGAGCCCATCTCCCACATTTTGCATTTGTCCTCACCTCCCTCTGGTTCAGCTTCCTGTCTCACCAGAACATTTCTTCAACACCGTAAGCATATTTCTTACGCCCTTACTAAGGCAAACTCCCATGCCAGTCATTGGGAGGTTGTGCCTGAATTAAAACTGAGTGCTGAACACAACAACTCCAGGTGACTCGTGGGAATGACAGGTGCTTTGTATATTTCAGGATAATTTAACTGTATCCTTTGTTCATTTTAATGCAATGTATTTCTCAACCAAATAAATAAATAAACAAACTAAATGCATATATGCATGTATTTCTAGTGGTTGTCCTCTGTAGACTATTTTGTCCTTTCCTGGACCCCTACACTTTCCTACAACCCCAACTCCACACCCCCTCCCCGCCAAATGCATACAACCTGGTACCCAAAACAAAAATATATGACTGGAAGGGATTTGGGTCTTGAAATCCTGTCCTCTGCTCTCACAGGCAAGCACAACATTCAGTCCCTGCCATGAGCTGACCAAGCTCCATCTCAAAACTGACTAGGAATTTTGAGCTGCTCCCATGGGAAGTCTGTTTCTCTTTGAAAAGCACCAGAAAAAGGAGCACGGACTACTAGCATATTATGTTGTAGACCCTTTTTGTAGTCCAAAGGTGAACTGTAGTATATTTATCAAAACCAACTTAAAACTGAAAAATGTTATAGAGCAGTTTCAACTTCTAAAAAAAACACACACTATGTCCTGTCACATTCTTTCCTAATTGACAGCAATTATTCCTGCATTGTGACATACAACTCCATTCCATTTTCACACAGCTCACTAAGGTAATTACAAGATGAAGAGCATCGAACTTTCTTCCCCAGTGCACATATAAGAGACTATTTTGTTTTCATGCATCTTCTCCAGTACACAACCACTCACAGCACTAAACAATTACATCGATTACCCCATTTCAGATCAACATATTGAAAAGAAACAGTCCAAAAGACTGCAAAATTAAAATAAAACATTCTTGTCTCTGTATCAAAAATGCCTAATGTAAAATTCCCACAAAATATTTATTCAGCATTAAAAACCACCGTTAATTTCTTATTTTCCCTCTTATAACTTACTACATGTTTTAGTATAGCAAGTGATAATTATTTATGCTGTATTCACCACATTTGGGGTAGGACACCACCACGATATCATCTTTTCTGGCTTCTAAGTTCTCCATGGCCTGGAATGTCTCTGCACTGCACACACTGGAGGGGTATGGGATTCCCTTATAAGAGAACAGCAGATCCTTAAGGGCAAGCCCTTCAGACTTTGCTAACGCTTTCTCTATTTCATCAACCAATTTGTTCTGGTGACCAGCCATGTTTGTCGCCTTCAGTGTGCGAAACTACTATGTCTAAGTAACAAGTGCCTTTAAATAGGCATCTTAAGGGGTGGGGTGAAAAATGCTGGCATTATTTGTCTTTGTTTTCCTCAATACAACACAAAGCAGGTCATGTTGCACACCATGTGCAAACCCAAAGCAATCAAATACTTTTCCTTCTCTCTTCCCTCCCCACCCTCCTAGGAATAGAGGCAGGGCCTGATCTTGCCATTCTTCTTCCAAAGAGTAGGACTGACTCTTGTTAGAAATCCCAGTGAAGTCAAGAAAGAGGATTAAACCCCACTGCAAGAAATGGCAATAGGAAATGGATTACATTGTAGGAATAGGCTGCAAAATATTAAATTTAATCCTATGTAACGTTAGCAGCAGGAAAGCTTCTCACACCAATGTTAGGTGGTTTCGGTTTTGTCAGCAAGTTCAACCCTATGCAGGGGCAATGCGTACGGGGTGCACGTGGGTGCAAGTGCACCCCTGAGCGTGGCGGTGCACCCCCTACAAAAAGGCGCTGCCGACACTGTTCGTGGTGCCTGCAGGCGGTCACCACTTGCCCCCCACCCCACCACCGACAGCACCAGCAGCATCTGTGGGAGCTCCCACTTACCACCGCTGTGTTACCGCCCCACTCCCGCCATGCCCCGCCCAGCTGCTGGGGGCACACGTCATTTATGACCCCATGTCACTGATTTAAAAGAAACTGAAAGTGTACCGGTAACAAGTAGTAAAAGACAAGACTATAAAAGCCATAAAACAAAACAAAATAAAAAAATCCACTTGATTCAAGGAAAGTACAGTAAAAGCTTTGTTATCGGGCACCCACGGGGAATGGAGGGTGCCGGGTTACAAAATATGCCGGATAACAGCGGCCTGAACAGGTGTCTTTGCCTGTTTGGGCCACTGCCTGTCCCGCTGTCTGGGGTGTCACCACCCCGCCCGCCGTGTTGCTGCCCCTCCCGCCAGACTGCCGCCCCTCCTGCAGGCTCCATGGGCCCCACAGGACAGGGAGGAGGGACCCACACAGGCTGCTTTGCCCCAGGCCGTGGGGGCTCCACAAAACTGGAAGAGCCACGGTGGGCACTTCCAGTTTCACTTTTCCTTTACAAGCCAGCATGCCGGTTAACAGAGCTTTTGCTGTAATGCTAATACCATAGCCTAAAAGTACCAGAGGCCTTTTAGACACTAAAATCCATTCTGAAGGCTACTGTATATTAATGTCTCTCTTTTATGTTAAAAAACAATAAAAAGCTGAAATCTTAAGCTTAGCAACTAATGTTGTCGTCCCAAAGATAAGCATTAGATCCTTTCCAAATGGTTTGGTTTTACATGCTTAATCAAGTTTTCCTGTAGCAGTGAGCTCAAAGAGAAAACAGGACTTCCTAGTAGCAGCTAAGGGGCTTTTCATAAAAAAGCAGAAAAATAGGCCTAGAAGGTCATCTAGTCCAACCTCCTGCTCAAGAAAAGATCACCCTTAGATAATCTATCCCATAGGAATTACTAACTATTTCTTAAAACGTGGCACTGGGATGGGTAGCTACGGAGGGGGCTAAGGCAAATTTTGGGGTTGCTATAGCCCTCCCAAGTCCCTCCCTAGCACCACCCATGGAAATAAACAAGCTTGGGGGAAGCAGACTGAAGCAATTGTGCCTACTACAGCAGTGATGCTCAACCTTTCAGCCCTACTGCCTGCATTAGTGGTGCAGGCATCACATGCCAAATCCAACTGCAGAGCAACTAGTGCGTCGGCTTGGTCCTGCATGCTTCCAGTCATGGAGTGACCCCGAGTAGTGGTTCTCATTGAGCACCACTGCACTACAGCAATCTCCCTTCCAAAGTCTAGAAAGGAACACAAGATCCCTTCATTCCTCTTCTGCCAGCAAATACCTGTGAAAGCCGCTTACAAAGTGTGCACCACAGTGACTGTCACTTAGAGAACAAGAACCTGCTATTGCTAGTGCTACATGTTACTGTCAGCTCATGTGGCAAAGATCAGCGTATGCAGGATGCATGAAGGCTTCAATCCAGCTCATGGTTCACGTGCATGCCAATAGGATGCCACATAATAGAAAAACTGGAAGCTAAACTCAGGTTAGTGCACCACACTGATGGGGATGGAGAAGGGAACACCTGATTTTGGGGCTCTATTCCTCACTTTCAGGTTTGTGCCTCTTAGAAAGTTACTCCAAGACATACTGTTTATGAGTTAAGGTCTTCTGTATGATCGATGTAAACTGGTTTCTCATTCTTTTGATTGAGAAGGGTTCAAGAAAAGATGTTCAAGCTGTCTGCAACATCTGTGAATCCCATACACCCACAAAAGCAGAAAGGATTCCTTCATTCCTCTGCTGAGCAGTGTCTGCTGCTTGTGCACTGGGCAGCACAGAGGCAGCGGTGGCAAACGCTGCACGACGCGGCAAGTGGGGGGCCACTTTCCTCCGCGCCGAGCAGCTGTTGTGGCCGCGCGCAGCCCCAACAGACGAGCCCAGAGCCGGCGCAGGGCCCAGGCTGGCAGCGGGGGCAGGTTACAAGCTGGTGCTAAGCATGGGGAAAAGTGACCCCTCCCCCGTCCCATGCCCAATGCCCTGCGCTGCAGCTGCTTGCAGCCCGCTTGGGGCTGCCTGTGCCTGCTCAGGACAGCCCCACACAGGCTGCGAGTGGCTGCAGCAGGGAGCACCAGCCACAGGGCGGGTGAAGGGCCGCATTTCCCTGTGCTCAGCTTTTCCCTGGGCCACTTTTCCCCGGGCTCCTCCCCTGTGGGCCATATTTTGCCCACCCCTGCTCTACAGGGAGCCTGCGCCAGCGCTTTACTACCCTCCTGATAAGAAAGGTTTTCTTAATAGCTAACCTAAACATCCCTTGCTGCAACTTGAGACCATTGCTCCTTCTTCTATCATCTACCACCGAGAACAGTCTAGCTCAGGGGTGAGCAGTTATTTTGGCTGGAGCGCTTTTAACCAGTTTTGGTCAACAGTCAAGGGGAGGTCACCATAAAATTACCATCTTGATTTCCTGACTAAGTCACCAATTTGGTCACCATAAAATCTTTCTGAAGAGATCATCTTAACACATTATGGATAAAAAACAAATCATATACTTAAAAAAAAATCAAATGGCTACTATAGCATATATTACCTTTATTTCAAAAAAAATAATTTTGTCCTGATTTACGTTTTGAGCAACATAAATAGAGGGGATGACATAATAGCTCAAATTAAAGTCTAACTCGTGTATTATGGGTGGGAGGGGTAGGGACCCTGCGGCTCAAGCACCCAGGCGTGCGCTGGAAGCTGTGCAGATGGACACGTGTATTTGTGGAGGGGGGGGAGCGCCTATTCACGTGCTTGGAAGAAGCGCGACGCACTGCGCATGACGCACCAAGGGTGGGGGCGGAGCCAAGGAGGG